ACTGTATCTGAGCTCTTTAACTCTTAGGTTTCCTATGCCTTTATTTGTCCTGAAAATAGCTTAGCTTTGACTATATCTGTCATATTTTAATAGTCTCTRACAAGGTAAATGACAGGAAAAAAATCATTACCTCATTGTTCTTGCTTTCATCGGTCTAAAAATGCTGTATTTTTCTGACTCCCTATAAAAAMCAAAATATTTTCAGTCTTCTTGTGCTAATAGGTAACTACTTTGGGAAAATTATATTGCTGCTGTTCTACCCCTCTAATAACAGATTATGTCTCCTCATAAAAGAAATTGAAGATACTTTTTACAAAACAGACAAAAGCATGTTAAGCATCTGAAGCCTTTATTGAAGAATCCCAGTCATATTCCAAACTGAAAAAAAAAAATCAGTAAAATACTAATACACACTGTTCATACTTTTTTTTTCAGCATCAGTGAAATAAATGTTTCCTCCAACTTTAATACATGTTATCTCACAAGATACACCATGCACTTCTTTTCAGGTTTACTAAGTACTGCTTTCTAGGGATGAAGTGTAATGATGGAACTTTATGTACAATTATTCTTTTCTGAAACAATACCCCTTATATATTCTTTGATTAAGACAATTTTCATATATTCAGTGATACAAAGAACAAATTATGCACAGCTTTCAAGCATAGGCAACTGAGGATGATCTGTTAAATCCCTTTAGGTGTTTGTGTAAAGACACCTCAAAAAGTCTTAAGCATAAACAAAYCCATCCAAAGACATAAGGACGAGGATGGTCCCAAAACCATAAAAATTAGAGGCTGATTATCCTCAAGTGTCTTGAGTGAGCTCTTTTACAGAAGTGCATTAATTACTTAATTTTGTTACAATAAAACCTGCTTGGAAAAATTGGTTCTCCCTAAAGAGATATACATTATTCTATACCCTTGTGTGCTAATAAATATGTGCTTAAAACTGATCTTTTACAGATTTTGTCTATAAACAAGTGAACTAATATAAAAATGACAACTGAAAAAAATTAACTCACCAACTTCTGTAGCTGAGGAARAACATTCATGGTTTGATTTTCCTCTAATATTTATGACATAGTTGTTCAAAATCTTAATTGCTTTAAGGAGCATTTGCACTTCTGAACAACTACAATAACTGAAGGCTGCCATCATTATACTAAATTTAAAGTATTATGATCTGAGATCAAAAGGTCTCCATCTGAAAATAAGTGACATTGGTTTAATTTGCATATGCTGCAGGCTGAGGCAACCTTATGTGTCAAGCTTATTGCTATCTGTGTCAGCAAAGCCATAATAAAATAAAGGGAGGGATATGGAGGAAGCAGGACGCAGTTTAACCACYTTCCTATCATTATTTTCATTTAGCACAAGAAGACTTTCCTTGTCCAGCATTTCTCGTTCAAAGACAGCACTGTTGTGTCTACAGCGRTGTGAGAAAGACACATTTTGAACAGAAAGTTGTCTCAAATGTCTCCTGAAGGCCCTTTGAATAATAAGAGCYGACACTTCCTCTTGTTTTCTTTTAAGGGTAGAAGAAACTGGCGTGTAACGACTTTTAGATGGATTGTCAGCCACAATCTTTTCTTCCATGTCTAATTCAAGGCTCTCCAAATCTCCAGTTTCTCCCAAGACCCTTTTAGTGAAAGCCAGCAAGATATCCAAGCAGTGAATCTTATCTCCACTAAATATGGGGATGTCCATGGATATGAGCTGGATTTTATTAGGCTTTGGGATGCGCAAAGGTTCTGCCAGCGCATCTGCAAAGTCTGAAAGAGCAGAATAATCTATGAATTGTGTTGCCCGAGGATCAAATTTTGCCCATGTCTCATAAAACATATCAAAGTCATCCTCACAAAGAGGATCTGTGCTTTCCTCAGTGGCAACACTGAAGTTCTCTAAAATGACAGCTATGTACATATTTACAACAATGAGAAATGATATAATGATGTAGCTTACAAAATATAAAATGCCAAAGCCCCTGTTTGTGCAATTATTTTTCTCTGTCTCTGTTAAATTTACATTAGGAGCACATTTGTCAGATTCTTTTAACAGAGGGGATAGAAGACTATCCCAGCCAGCTGATGTTGTAATTTGGAAGAGGCAGAGAATGCTACCAAAAAAGGTTTGAAAGTTGAAAATGTCATCAATCCCCCCTTCCCATCGGACACAGGCAAAGTTTGCCATGCCCACAATGGCATAAATGAACATAATCAGGAAAAGCAAAAGGCCAATGTTGACCAGTGCAGGAAGAGACATCAGCAATGCAAAAAGAAGAGTTCGAATTCCCCTGGCTTGGCGAATTATTCTCAGGATTCGGCCAATCCGTGCCAAACGAAGAGTTCTCAAAACCGTAGGGGAGAAGAAACGTCGGAAGACTTCAGAAACTCCAAGACCTTTGAAACRAAAAAGAAAACAAAATGTTGTCAGGTCAAGTTTGTCAAATTAATGTTTGGTTTGTCATATTCTGTGCTTTAGATGTTCAAAGTAACAATGATCAGATTATGCTGCTCTCAACAAAACATCATCAATTCTGAAACTGCTTAGAAAAAAGGTAGGTAAAGAAAGAAAAATTGTAATATGTTCCAATATGAAAGAGGTATCAAGATTTTTGCATAGTTTGGAAGCTCTGTTCTCCCAAATTTCTCTAATATGGGGGGTGAATTTAGGTATTATTTGCTTAAGTAACTTAAAAAATCCTTTTAAATCCATTCAGYCCCTGTGTTGGAAGCTCTGGGGGTGTCTCTGAGGTGCTGTCTGAGTGCTGTTGCTTCTGCTGGCCTAAGCCACAGGCTAAATGTGAGACTTTGACTAATGCTGGTGCTTGAATGAGATCAGACAAGAGCAAGAAGAAAATAAAGGGAAATTGTCTCTTAGTATTTATCCCCCATAACACCTCATTCKGTGACCCTACAATCAGAGTAATGACACAGTAGCAATGCAAATGATTGCAAACGGAAGAATTAAGAAGTCATAATTTTTCTGGGTTGTACAGGATGGTAAAGGGCTGCTGTGTTTAGTCAAGAAGCAGAAACCCGGAGTAGAAACCCATCCTTTATTATTAGATATGACCTGAGTCTGAGTAGGAATAACAGACAAAATAAACTGTACAAGAAACTATAGCTATATATGACCCTTYGTGGAGGAAATAGATAAGCTAATCTTATCTGAGGTGTCAAAAAAGTACAAGCCAGTTTTAATAATTTTCCCAGTCACAAATAGGGGTCCAGATTTAGAATGGTACTGAGCAACCAAATTTTCCTCAGCATCTAAATCAGCAATTGAGCTCTGCCTTCTTAAGAGGAAACCCTAGAAAATGAAAATAATTTTTATCACTTTTGATGYAAACGTATTTTTTAACCTTGTCAKGGTTTTACTTGGTCCGATTTTTGGTGGTGGGGGGATGGGACCAAGAAACCACAAAGATGGCTCCTGTGAGGAAGTTCTAGAAGCTTCCTCCTTCTTCTCCAGCAAAAGGAGCCCAACCCCCTGTCTTTTAGAGCGAATCTATTGTGGCTCTGAGTTTGATGGTCAGGCTGCCCATCAGGCCTGGACCAATTGCACAGGCTAGTTATATCTCTGTGATGATGTATTGTCTTGTACTTAAGAAGAATTCAAAACAAGATAGGGGCGGCCGCCATGTAGTTTTAGGTTGTTAGTATTTAGTTGTTAGTATCATGCACTGGGGAAAAACAGAGCAGGAGGGTGAGGAGATGTAAGAAAAAAATGGAGACCCAAGATCACAGTAAGGAGAAGATCGGATGGGTTGCTGTGCTGTGCTGTGGTTCTCGAACACGGAGAAAATAAGTTGTTCTTGAAAGGACTATTTCATCAATGAGAGATCTGTATAGAAAAGGAGAGTGACCTTGCTCTGAGGAAAAAAAACCTGGCCTTTGAGGACTGGACTGAACTGATCAGGAGCCAAAAAGGGGGAAGAGGCTTGGCCCCCCCACGACGTTTGAAGTGAGTTGATGCTAAGAAGAAAATGTGTTCTGCAGGGAAGAGGAGATGCCCCCGCCCTATGTCTGAAGTAAGTGGATGCTTAGAAGAAGAAGAAGCTCTGCCAGGAGATTTGTGATAGTGGTCTTACGCCGCCAAAACAACGCAGTTTGGCCTTGAAGAACATTCTTTCCTTTCTCCTACGAGGTAAAGAAAATATTCCCTCGCCATCAGCAGTTACACACTGACTGTTTCTTGGGAAAAGAACTTCCACAGCTTGGAGCTGTAAGAACGCTTCTCCTATGATGCTGGACGACAACCATAATGAGTAGCTTGATTTATGTTAGACTTTCATTCCTGTCCCCTGTGTGTGTGGGAAGACATGGGGGGTAGAGAGGGAGGACCTGGGAAAGAGACGGAACCCAGGAAAGGATAACAGGTGTCTTAAAATGTCCATTTTTATTTTTCTTCTCCTTTTAAATTTTTCCATATCTTTGTTCCCCTCCCCGGTGCGGTAGTATTCTTAGTAGTAATAAATCTATTTTGCAACTTAAGTTATTCAGCCTGTCTGACCATTCTCTGGAGCATATACATATCTTCCTCTCAATTATATTATGTTATCTGAAAGCCATAAATTTTCATGTTAATTGGGCTTTTGCTCTCCCTTCTGCCCTCTCAGGTGGGGGAAAGAGAGAGAACGTCGTGGGTGCAGTGCTTTTTGACTTTCAGCACAATCCAAACCACGACAAACCTGAATTTACTTTTACTGTGAAAACAACAGCTAAGATGGTAACATGTAAAGCATTAAATTTTAAACAACAGTTTAAGCACAGTCACTTAGAAAAAATGTTACTGAATTAAATTCCTATTCTGTTAATTCCTCAATAACAACTATACTTAAAAAAACAAAAAAACCAAAAAACCAAAAAAAAAACCACCTCCATTTATCTTTTAGTAATCTGCAAAAATRTAGGGAAAAACAAAAATACATCATTTTAGAAGGAATCACTTAGCAGATACTTGGAAAAAGTACAATGGATCTGGAATTTGTCAATCAAACCTATACAGGTGGTAGGTTCATGCTGGAATTTGGTTTAATATTGGTAAGACACATTGTTTGATGCAATGATTGATACTTACTCACTATTGAAAGGACCACAACACTGAAATCAAACACGTTCCAGCCACTTGCAAAGTAGTACTGCCTTAATGCCAGTATTTTTATGACACATTCTGCAGTAAATACAGCCACAAAAAAATAGTTGATTTTATTAAGAACATCCTTGGTGCCATTCTGGTTATTTTCTGCCATCATAACGACCATATTTAGACAGATGAAAATCACAATGGTGATGTCAAATGCTTTATGTGATACGATGTCAAACAGCAATCCTAGGAACGCATTCTGTGGGATAATGAGAACTGTTTAATGCCATTTCTAAAAACAGCCTGCATTCAAATATTAATCAGTAATTCATGCTTAGAAAAGGAATTTAACATAAATTAACAACAAGCTACTAGAAGCATTTTTAGGTGATTTYTTTAGACCTTCAAAGAAAGCATACAGTACTTGGCTGAGTATTTTCAGGCATTGTGCAAGCACATAGGCTTAGAAAAAATATATATAGCAAGAAAATACTCAGAGTAAATTGTGATTGATCTTTTAATAGAAAAACTTACTGAAGCAGATATTTTAAGATAAGCAATTCTAATTAAAATGTCATAAGCAGGAAAAAAATCGGAGTAGTTACTATGCGAAATCAGGTCTGGAATTAAATTTAAGAAACTCTAAGAAATAAAGCATAAAATTATTTAAAAGCAAATAACAGCCAAGGGGCACGTACTACTCTCTATTCATTCTCACCTGTAATAACCCAATCTCATTGCAGAAACAACATCAGGCAACTTAAATAACCAAGATCATGTTATGAATATCAAATACTTAATAGGAACTGGTTTTAGAAGTTTTTTCATTTGAATAAGTGATAAATAGGTATGTTGTAAATTTGCTTAATATCCATAAAGAAACCTGTGTTAGATGGATTTTTTTTTAAAAAAAAAGAGTAAAATCTAAATACTATATTGAATGAGAAATGTGAGGGGCAATAATGCAAAGTTTATTTCCTGATGCCTGAGTTTCCTGATGTGGGTTTAAATAGGGTCACCATCTTTATATCTTCTGTCATGTTCTACTTAAGGTGGTCTCACCGATGGTCTTGGGATGGGTTTTTGGGGTTTCTTGGATCCAAGTTTTTTTAGGGCATTATAGTACTTTTTCTGTTCCTCAGTCAAAAATAGATCTTTTCCACCTAAGTAAAGATAAAGAATAATGTTGTTCAATCGAGGTCAACTAAATAAATACCAACGAATTTATGTAAAAAAGGATAAGTTACAACTATCATGAGTGGGATCTAAGAGAGCAGAGAMCAAATGTGTCTTCACCATTTCCCCTTTTCCTTTTCATCTTTGATCTGATCTGGGTTTGATCATGAAAGTCAAGTCCAGGCAGTGACCCCAAGTCAGTTCCCTCAAGTGTGAGTGCCTTTCTGAAGTTTTGCAAATCTATTTAATATTTTCAAAATTACATAAAATTCATCAAGAAGTAACACACTTCATATTTTTGGGAAGGGTAGAAGCAGAAGTACATTGCTGGATTAGCAAGTATATGGAGGAGGATGAACAAGCATTTTTGGACCATGTTCTACAGGGGTTCCTGGCAATTAATTTGTTATTACCATCCACACAATCTGCATTACTGAGCAATCACTTTGAACCCAGCATTCAGAAGACATTAATCATAAAAACATTGAGTGATCAGCATTTTGTACAAYACATATCAACGTTCAGCAGGGCATCTGCAACTTGAATCACTCCAGAAAGATGTCTGAAAAYTCTGCTTAACTCCACTACATGGAATCCCAGTGGAAATCCCAAAGAAGCAGAAAAGGAATGAAAGAACAAAATGAAAAAGAAAAATAAGTCAATAACAGCATGTACTAGAAAAGAAAAGTGTTGCATCCACATGAACTTCTAGCAAATGTTCAGGCTTATAAACTACTTAACCTTTTTATCTGTTAGGGTTATTTTAAGTAGGACTTTGTTATAAATGGAAATCCTTATAGTGAAGTTGGACTGTTGCTCCTCAGTCCCTACATATCTTTTYTCTATCCAAATGCAGAGAGCAGAAAAAGTTCTTGTGGGTTTTATTATCTCTGCCTATGAAGAGAAGTAATGTTTTGACACTTGGAGTATGAGTCAGTCTATGGAAATAATAAAAGGTTCCTGTAGAGATTCTGTCTTCCAAATGGGARCCTTGAAATACTAAACCTCCTGTTGGGGTCTGATTTTGTGGTATTTTTTCAATGAACAAGATGCTTATTTGTTGTAAAATRTCCAAGTGGATTAATTGACACAATTTCCCTTGATATTCTGGATACTTTAGGCCCTAAATGAGTCAGGAGAGAACTCARTTGATAAATAAGCTTGGCACAAGGAAGGTGAAGTATTCCAGGCAGGGATGACTGTTGCTTTTCATTGCTACACTTTCCATTCTAAGATTTTGCCTTTCATTTCATACTGAATAACAAGAACAAGGAAYATAACAACTACGAGGAAGAAGTCAGTGCTTCATGGGAATTAAGCAACCTTTAAATTTCTACACAGCCTCTTCCTGGGGTCAGGGCTTGGATCCCAATGCAGAATTTTTTCAAAAACCAGTAAATTAATCTGTAGGTTTATTTTATAAATGGAAGGCTTTTTTTAAGTGCAGCTAGTTTTAGAAGAAGTTCTGATTAACAAGRCCTTTTCAAGGTTCTTTATGAGGAAAGCAGGGGTCAGTCTTTCCATGAGTGTTTCTTGATCACCCTGTTCACTTTTGTGAGGTTTTTACTCTTAGCAAGAAGGATTATTCTGCTCCCCAAAACTAATCTTCAAAGCCGAAGAAAAGAGTTCCACTCTCCTGTAGCAAAGTGTACATAACGTTTTTGGATTCTCATTTCCAAAGCTATTCACTCCTTCTTCCATGTTGTCAACTTAGAACAAATGAAGGACTTAACAGGAAAACAGAATTTACAGATAAAAGCCTTGAGGAAGAGGGGATTCCTGCTTTCAAAACTTCGTTTGAAACGTTCTTATTTTAAATTTATCTGGTCAAATAGTTATTTCAAAGTGGTAGACATCTAGATGTCAAACCAGCATTCATCTAATCAAACTGGAATTACAGGAGACTCTGAGTTTGCTTATGCAGTACTTATCTTTTTCCTTTGCTGGTTAAAATTGCTGATTACCACTCCAATGAAAAGGTTCAGCATGAAGAAAGATCCAAAAATAATGAAAACCACAAAGTACACATACATGGATAAGCGTGCTTCAAACATTGGCTGATCATCGATCTGTTATAAAAAAAAAATTAAACCAGAAAAACAATATTGGTAAAAATATAATCACAGCTTTCTAATTTCCAAAATTATTATAGGASATCCTCTTACTGTCATGAGGGATAAATTATTTCCACACATTTAAACCTTTATCTAGATGTACAAGTAGAACAGCTGTCTTATTCTTTCTTGTTACTGTTTATAAAGATAATGACAAAGTCAAATCCTGCCCTAGCAAATTTTTAAGTAATAAATACTCAGTTTCAATCAGAAGGGATCTTATGAATGCCCTGATTAGAAAACCAGCTCAGACTAAACCCARTGGTGAACTTCAATCCTTTGGAATGTTATCCCAGGCAAGAAGCAGCTTTTAACCAGCCCTCCAAGGAACAATATTGTTAATGCGCAGCTATTTAACTACAGTCAAGAGTACAGAGATCAAATGAGTGAGAAAAATCCAAAGTCAACTAAACATARAAAAGTTAAAACACACTGTACCAATATGGGAGTGAGAAATAGCACWTGCAAATGGGGAAGAAATAGTGAGGATGGCAAATACAGGGAAGAAAACCTCCTGAAATAACTGCTAAAGCTGCAGGCTGTTTCGATTTTACTGCACATGTTTAAAAAGGAAGAAAATTTGCTTCAGAGGCACAGTGCCTCCTAGACCTTTCCTATTCTGTTTCCAAATCACAACTTCTACAAAATGTAATATTATCTTGCCCTCTTTTTGTGTGGTRTAACTATTGTGACCAGCTTCTTTTATCTAAATTTCAGATACCTGGTACTCCAATATTTGTTTCCTTGCRTAGTTTGATGCACCCATCCACCTGTATTATTGACTTGATACTCCAAATAGACCTGAAAAATTAACTGCATGGATAGAAAGGGGAAAAAGAAAAGGGAAAAGAACAAAAATTTCATTTTAGTGACGTACCTCACGTGAATCCACTGCTGCATACATAATATCCATCCAACCTTTAAAAGTTGCCTGAAAAAAAATGCATTCAGTTTATTATCACTAAGAAAAAAATTAGCTTTAGTGAATATAAATGTGTTATTTGCTGTGGAAAAAATAAGCAGTGTTGTATAAAAAATATGTTTGAATGCTAAAGATCTGTTTGGGAATATGATTCACTGGAGTTTAGTAAAGGGAAAAAATATATATCCTGAAAAGAAAACAAAAAGAAGTTCATAATTCATATCAAATGCATTTTAATGTTAACTCTTGTTAAATCAAAGTGTTTGTAAAAAAAAGAACAGTAAAAGTTTCAAACTAGCAAATATAACCTGAGAGGATAAAAGCAATTTCTAAGAAAATAGCAGAAAATTCCATAGTGCAATTTTTATCAATCTAGACCACTTTGGAGGATTCAAAGCAAATAACTTCATCTACAAAAGACWCAGGAATAACAGACACTTTTTAAAAAAATGCCTTTCTCTCCTTTGTTGTGATATTAGGGAACTCTATAAATTAGCATCCCAACACTTTATGACTTTTTCAACAAAAGAAAACATAGTTATAAATAAATYGGCCCATGAATTTTCTTTCTTGCCYACTCTGAACCAGAGAAAACAAAAATAACTTTAAATCCAGTAAAACAGAGACAATTACAGGCTTAGTTTTTTAATTAATAATTAAATGAAATTTAAAACAAAAYTGAAAACCCATGAAACAGAGTTCTTGATTTTAACACAAGGCTGCATATGTTCAATGTTTTTTTCAGAGGAAATGAGCAACCATAGATAAGGAAAATATATATGATAGCTAAAAACTCCCCAGTTTCAGTGAGATAAACCGAAGCACAGTGGTGTCCCTTGGCTGGGCTGCTCAACCCATGCCTTGAAGAAAACAAAAAAAAGTTTTTATAAAACTTACCACTTGCAGAAGAGCCAAGTATCCCATGCCAACATTATCAAAATTTACAGCATTATTTGTCCATGTGCCATTRTAGGAAATACAATCATTTCTGTTATGGATGAGTCCAATATCTCCTTTCTTGAGTATGCATTTCCAAAATCTTTTTCCAAGCCATTTTACTCCTAGAACGTTAAAGAGGAGCCAAAAGACAACACAGACCAGCAGAACATTGAAGATTGAGGGGATGGCTCCGAAGAGTGCATTCACAACAACCTTAAATGAATGAAAATAATTAATTACTTGCATTCAATAACTCATTTTTCCCAAAAGCCACTGATTTTTACTTCTTCCATATCCATTCTGTGATGTAACGTAGGCCAGATGATTTATACTGTTTTTTAATTCTCCTCACTGACTTTAAAGATTACAGACTTCAAGTTCACTCAGAGCAGCTTTTACAATTGAGTTAAAAGAAGTTCTTCTGGTATTAATTGGTTTAAAGGGTTATTGTCTTTCAGATCCACCCTGGAGAATCCAAAATTTGGCACAGGAGCTTGTCTAGGCAACCTGTCAAGGGGAGTTGAKTTAACCACATAGTCTGAAGAAGAGGAATTACAAGAAGGTGTTACAAAAGGGAGTAAATTCCACTTMAGCAAAGATTTAATGAATCTATTTTCCCAGTTTCCAATGTCTTGCCTCAGAAAATGAGAAAAAAATGAGGACAACTGTGGTCACTACACTTGTTAAGCCATGAAGATTGATAAGCTGCAACTTTCACAGCACAGATTTCTCCCTCATRTTAGAGTTTGTTTTCTATAGTAACTCTGTAAATAGCTTCTTATCTATTCACAACTAATTTAAAATGGTTCCCATTATTTTCAAGCACATTCATTTATTTCAGAAGAATTTCCCAAGTACATTGGATGAAATTTTTCCATGTCTAAAATAAAACAAGAACAGGTTCCAGAAAGCTATAAGTCTAACAGAATTCTTGTTTAGTTTGTTCTGCACACTACMCTGAAATCAGGCACATGAAAAAATGTTCCAGTGTTCACATCACTATATGTAATAATTGCTCCTGGTAGAACTTAATAATTTAATTTCCTTTTTCATTTGTACTGATAAATTCCTGTGGAAGTGTTAGGTATTGTTTCAAAGCAACAAGTATAAGATGCAACAGACAATTCTAAACCATCTTAATGCCATCAAGCCCCAAAACAGGCATTCAAGTCATAAATGTCACAAAAATTTCAAAAGCACCTATTACAAAACATTCACCCAGACCGCCAATATCATTACCTTTATCCCTTCAAATCTTGACAAAGCTCGAAGAGGCCTCAGTGCTCTCAAAGTCCTGAGAGATTTCAAGCTGGTCCCAGAGGAACAAGGTGATGGGTCTTCAGAAACAGAATTTCTCCCCCAGGAAACAAAGGACAGCTGTGTTCATTGAATTGGAACAGGAWTTATTAAACTGCATACAAAATTTTGTGTTAGTAGACAATTACAAGCTGAATGTTACAGTATTTTTGTCCAGTAAGTAAAATTAAGAAGATAGACATTCAAAGTTATTGTAATATAATTTTACTTCATTCTTCTCTAATATATGAAAAAAATGGAATTCATTCTAGTTGTTTTTTTTTCTGTTTATTTAACAAAAATGGTTCATATAATTTTTAGTGCCACTTTAACAATTAAATTGGTAACTATGATCCTTTCTTATACTACAAGACCAGAAAAGTTTATTCAAATGAAATATTCTCACTTTCTACAGKTCTTCTCAAAAGTAACAGTAATTTTTTATCATGACTTAGGATGGTGATATGGTAAACAAAATTATTTTCAAAAATATATCCAGTCTTCACTTAAAATCTTTCTAAGAGAGAAATGAATACATTAAAAAATCATTTCAGAAATTATGTTTTTCCACTGTTCATGATTTGTGCCTTCCTATTTGAATCTGTTGTCCCATTGTTCAGCCATTGGATATGTCTATGGTTATCCTCTGTTTTCGACTGGTATTTGCATTAGAAAACTGTAATTCCTAAAGTCATAATGTATATTCCTTATAAATAGTCATAATATTAGATCTTTCTGTTGAAATTTCCTAATACTTCACAACTTTCAACACTGACTATTCTGAGGCTATCAAGTAGTTACTTTGATCTTAAAAGTCAGTTGATTAGATGTCCTTATTTTAGAATATTTAACTTCAGCACCATCCCAGTTTGATGTAGACAACCAGAAATGTATTATTTTTATATGGTAAGATCACAATATTTAACATTTTCTAAATTCAGAGTAACTATATATGTATTCAACACAGCACTTATCTCATTCGTGGTGATTTCAGCATTTCTCTTTAGGGATGTGCAAAACAAGAGACGTTTCCCTACCTTTAACTCCCTGATAAATTATTTTTACAATACATTTCAACTTCCTTAACATCTAAATTTCTTCTATTTCAAAGAAGCAACTCTTYTTTTTTTCTGTTTCTAAATGCCAAAGTCACAGAATCATATAATRGTTTGGGTTGGAAGGGACCTTTAAGATCATCTARTCCRGAACTGCCAGTAGATTCACATTTTTTATTGTCTTTATTTCCTCATTTTAGTTTTATTTCTGATTACTTATGGAACTCTCTTTCTRCTCTTAGAGAGAGCCATTAGGGTCCTCAATGATGGTGATACCAAACAAAATTTTCTCATGCAACTTCTTGATTTTTGTTGACAATTTCCCTTTTAAGTCCTAAAGCCTCTTTGGATTGAAGGTTTTTTCAGCTTTTGGAAGCTGTCTTTTACATTTGCATTTATTTATAATCAGAATTTAACATGTAGTTCTCTAGATTGAAATATCAAAAATTAAAATGTATGACCAGCTGAATATAATACTTACACACACAATGATGAAGTCAAGCAAACACCAGGAATTTGTGAAATAACTGTGCAAACCATAAGCTACCCATTTYAGAAGCATCTCCGTAAAAAAGGTGTAGGTAAATATCTTATCAGCATAATCTAGGATAATTTTCACTTTTTGCCTCTTCTGCAGATGAATATCTTCAAATGCCTGGAATTTCAGAATTCAGTTTTAAAATAGTAGTTTTATGGAATATTATTTTTTTAATGCACAAGAATGCAGAGTTTGGCTTATAACAATCATTTAATATTAAATTATGGCCAACTACCACTTAGTTTTATACTTAGAAGAAAAAACCTAAATTTTAAAGTAAGTACAATCGCATTTTCACATCGATTGAAAAACCACATACTTTCAGGATTTTATGTCCAATACTTAAAAAAATGTCTGGCGGCTATTAATTGTGGATATCAAATTTTGGCTTCTCAGGGTAGTTGATAATTTGGAAGGGGTTGTTCTAAAAATCTTCATGAAAAAGCTCGACTTAAATACATTAACCAACGTCTGTCAGACTCTGACCTTCCAAATGAGTCATCTTGAGTCATCCTGCAGTATTGTAATACAGATATGGAAAAATTTGACAAACACCTTATCTGGAACTGTTCATTCCTGGAGCTGMATGTTTTTCCATCTAAACCTTGACCTTGAAGTTTTAGGAAAATGTTCTCATTGACTGCCGTTCTTCACATCAGTGTTTATGTTTAATGTATTTGCTTCCTTGTTAATTTAATTTWTTTCTATTGCAAATCTATTCCAAATTCCTTTTAACACCTGCATTATTTCCTMACTGAGCCTTTGGCATTGTCTGTATTTTTCCTTTCATCCACTTCTCCCCTGCTTTTCTGAGYATTCCTTCTGTAAACACCATTTAATTTAAATTCACTACAAGCCATGGACATGGAGTGATGGTTTGGTCTCCCTTTATTTTAGCTAGTTGTGAAAATTTCGTATCAGACAGCTTTATAAACAAACAAAAAAGGGACAAGTCTCTTTTTTTAAGAGGACGAGACTATCTTACAAATGCAAAAGTTCTGAACACCACAAAACAKCTTTGATGACAAGAAATTGTTACTTGTTTGTCATTTTGCACCTGTGTATCATCTAACTTTTTATTCAATTTATCTGGATCCTACAGTATGTTAAAAAATAACTCCGTTTCCTTCCACGCTTCAGTTTGGTTTCCCATGAACACAGAGGAGCCCTCACTGGAGTCCCAGGGAGTTCCCTTGGAGATTTTGTCAGAGGAATTTTAAAGCAGAGGGTTCAAATCTATGGTTCAGTGAACAAACTGAATGTAATGTACACAGAACTGATTTTATTTGGAAATTCTGACATCTACCATATAAATCATTTTCAGACTATTTGGTTATGTTCCTTCTGTACTATATAAYATTTTATTTAACAAAATACTTCCAGTGTAGAGTGAATATGCTTTCAAATAAAATAAATCTTCCCTTATTCTTCAGTGGAAGTGGATATGACAAGAGCAGCAATGAAACATTACCTTACCCACCAGTTTACAGCCACCTTCACTTTTAGATTCTGATCATAATGTTTGGGTGATTTTGAATCTACAGCTTTACTAAGCAGTTAGTTTGCTTTACAAATTTAGAAGTGTTMTTATTTTTTTCCAAGCTTTCTTAAGTAATTTCACTCTAGTTTAGCTTTGTATTTGCCTTTACACAAAAGTGTAAAGAACTATGTTCAATGAGGAACTATAATTCCATATATTTAAATACCTTATCCAAGTGGGGGAAAGTATTATAATTTCTAAGGAATACATTTATTACACTCTTGTCTCTCCCTGGAGAAAGGAATGTCATAGTAGAAGTCAATTAAATATTACTCCTTTACAGACAACAATTAATTCAAAATTAGAGAAAGTAAATTAAATTTACCAGTGCTGCGCTGCTCAATACTATCATAAAAACCATAAAATATTCAAACCCGCTATGGTTAACGATTCTGTAGCAGGTTTTCCTAAAGTTCCACCAAGTTTTCCCTGGAGACTTAGTGATATCCACTACACAACTTGGGAAACACTTAACACAACCTGAAAAGACAGAGAACAGCGTATTGGTACAWTGGAAGTTGTTGAGACATGGAATCAAAAAAGTAAAAAACATCTAAAACACAGCTTTTACAGACTATAGGAAGAATGTGTTCTTTTACCTATGAGGTGCTGCTGTGGTTGAAATTACCTGAAGCTAAAGAAAAGACAAAATTTGTAGGCCAGAATAATTTCTTTTAATAGAGMAACACATACATGTCAAAAACAAAGTTTTGTGCCCTTCTGCAGAAAGGCTTATGGGCACAAAAGAAGCATTTACTTCTATCTAAAAGTGTGTTTATTTTCTGCATTTTTTCTTTCTGCATTTTGAAGAGTTATTACCATATGAACAGGTTAGTAAAGTATTATTTTTACTGATTATTTGACTTCATTAAGCTGCAGAAACATTACAATTGGGCTCTCTGTTCCCTGCTCTGCACCAGAAACACTCTTCCTTAATCTGTAAAGGCAGAAGGATTGAACCATGAGAGMCAATGGAGTCTAAGATGTTCAGGTGATCAAAGGCAGATATCYGTGATGGGACGAGCAGGCAAAGAGTTCCTGCTGATCTGGACATGTTTSAAAGGGATGTTTTTTAACAAAGGTTCATTTGGCATTAGTGCAATACAAAACAAACAAAAAAAGATTCCTACTTTCTGCAAAGCAGTCGTTAGGCAGCTGTGAGTCTTTAGTCTGGGAAAACATCTCCAGAAGAGCAACTGGATCCACAGAGCTGGCTTCAGAAATGCTACGAACAGACCGATGTTTCTGCACAGGAGAATGAGAAAGAATGAAATTTATTTGCTTTTCATTAATGAGGTTAACAAAACTAAAATAAATTAAAATTGTCATCTCTCCCCCCAAAAGAGATCTGCAGTGTATAAATTACCTTAATGTTGCTGAATTACCAAAAWGAGTTATAAATAATAGGATAGAAAAGGCCAATCTTTACTCTTTGTTTCCATCGCTTTGATTTAATAAGTTTCTTGGTTTCTTTTAGTCATCTACATTGGACTTGCARGAAGGGAAATGTTTAGAAAAGATATTATGCTAAAGTTTTAAAGAAAACTCTTCAAAACAGGTCAATCCATTTCTAGAGATATAAATCATGTCTCAAAATGCATGAAGAGGAGAAGGCCCAGCATTTTCCACAAAATGATAAAAGTTATAATTACCTCATTTTGCTCTTTCTTTGGGTGTGTTACTGTGGAAACATTTACAGTTTCAGAAGTCCCAGAAACCTGCTTGAAGCTGTTTGAGTTCTGCCACTGTTCTTTGTGTCCTGATCTGCCTCCCTGCATGTAATAATGTAAACCAGTTGATTTTTCCACAACTTGTAAGGCAAATTCTTACAAGGCAAAATTATTTAATAGAATGTAAAACATCCATAAAGTTTAGAAACATATAATCAYAAATTAGGGTGTTTCGGTTGGAAGGGACCTTAAAGATTATGTGGKTTTAACCCCTCTGGCACAGGCAGAGAATCTTTCACTGGCAAGTTTGTCTTTTTATAAATAATTACGTGGTTTCCCTAAAATGCTTGTAAAAGAATSATGCTTCCAGTTTCAGACAGAAGATCTAAGTGATCAGAACCWGTTCTCAGTCCTTTTGCCTCTACAGATTACAAGAAATAGAAGATTCCACTGCAGCAGGGAATGAGTTTCTGTGCTTATGGGCAAGATATTTGAAACAGCCACAGATGATTCTAAGGTGACCAGCAATTTTTGCTTCTTTGAGAAATTGCCCTAAGATAGTCCACTGATGATGCTTCCTAATAGAACCAAAASTGTAGAAACTGGATCCTAGCATCCACCTAGAGACTGACCACGTGCTAATCCATCCAAAAAGAGATCCCTCCGACCCTAACAGTTYTGTGATTCTGTGAAAAGAGTTCCTCTGGCTCCTGAGCCATATTTGACAATCCCATGTGAATGTGAGAGAYACCTGAAATATCTCCAGTATCCCTAGATGACTGAGCTGTCATGGGAATACAAATGTCTCACACTCAAAAAGACCTGAGCTTTATCCTGTGCAACACAGCAAAATGAAGAGCTATAAAGGGGAATCAAAAGTGCCATGAAGGTGAACAGGTCATTAATAAAAAACCAAACACAATCCTAAGAATTTTTTTAAGGTGCAGCTTTTATTTGTATTCCCTTTGAACTCCGTGCAAYTGAGAAGTAACATATAAGCAACACAATAGGCTTGCCTTTCAAAAAGACCAGGTGTAAGGCAAAGGAGACAAAAAGAAAGAATGCCTCTCCTGCTTAAATTCAATTTCTCAATTGACAGTAATAAATGGAAACAAAACAGTCAAAAGCAGAATTAYGGCTATCAACAAGGAGAACAATGAAAAAGTGAATATTCAACATTTCATTGAATAACCAGAACTATTTGGTAGCCCTTGTACTAGAAGAACGAAGGAAGTAAACTGTCAGAAATGAAAGAAAGGTTAATATTTACAGTTGAATCTTTGACATTATATTTACAGAAGCAAGTCACAATAATTTTTCAAGTATCACTATTTCTTACCTGTTTTCTGTATTCTGCAGCTGTGTGTAAAATGTGCCCACCACCACCTTCGTTGGTGTAAGTCTCTGCTGCTGTGATGGGAACACAGGTTCTGTCGCTGGTTAAAATTTCTTCRTATTTCCTTGCTAGTGAGGAGCTCTCTTCCATATGGTAACACTCTATRTCAAAGCAGCTATTGTCTATATATTTTCTGACATCTGTCATGGCATAATTAGTAACCTCTATGCCTTTGCCAGAAACTTGTGCCAAAGTCATCTTTTCGTTTGTTCTTCTGATGCTTCCTCTCATTCTTTTGCAGCAGCGATTCCAAATTCTGGCTTTCACAGCCTTCAGTTTCTTGCGAATCTGTGCAATGGCAATCTGATAATTAGTCCCTTCTCCGGGCTCCTCTTGTCCCTCTGGGCTGTCGTGATTGAATGAACTCAGCAGCAAAGCAATGAACAAGTTGAGCACCTTAAAATAGTTAAAGTAAGTAGGAGACACTACTGCTAACAGAAAAGACATTTCAGAGACCCTCARACTTGCTTTCATTAACAACTTCAAACAAATTATTTACTACTACACTGGAATATTGTTATAACATKATATGCCTCCTTCTGGAAGGAATGGCAGMAAAAAAAAAGGATGGAAGCAAGAGTTTGGGTATAATCAAATATATATTCACACAATCTGATGTCCATAATGGATGAGAAATAAAGAGAAAATCAGCAGGCAAAGATGAATTTTAATTATACCACCATCAAAAAGGGTCTGGTACAGCCCAACAAATCAATCAGATGAAAAATAYATTGTCTTCCAGTATATTTACATTAGATCTAGTATATGTCATAGAAACTTGAAAATCTGGGTACTGTAAACTTTTGACAACATAAGAGCAAATTGTGAAGGATTAAAAGAACTGAACAGTTTGCTTATTCAGTCCCATGAACACAAAGGATGAAGACATCAGACACCAAATTATCACAAGCTTTGCACTTCTATGTGCTGGGTAGAAGGTAGAAAAACTGGGGAAAAGGGAAAAAAAGAGACAGAACAAAACTGTATGTCAAGTGACATCCAGAAAAGAGAATAAAGGAAATACTTTATAGTTTGCCTCAAAAAAAAAAAAAAAAAAAAAAAAAAAAGTAACTGGATGCATTTAGTAGGGACAGAAAAATGTCTTGAAACTCACCACCAGGTTTCCTAGCACCAGGACAAGCAAGAAAATGGTGAGACATTTCCTTTCTCCAGCCACTTCCATACATTCCCACATAGTTTCAATCCATTCTCCACATAATATTCGGAATATAATCAGGACAGAGTGACTAAAATCCTTCATATGCCAGCGTAATTTGCCACTGGTGTTTATTTTACAGACATTTTCCTCATAATCACTGCCCAAAAACTGCATTCCTACTACAGCAAAAATAAATACAGTGATCGCCAAAACCAGAGTGAGGTTACTCAGAGCACCAAATGAGTTTAGAATKATTTTCATAAGAGTATTTAAGGCTGGCCAGAACTTTGCCAATTTGAAGATCCTGAGCTGTAAATTAAAMACAAGAGGAAAAAGCAAATGTTAAAACCAGCCTGGATACAACAGCAAACATGAAAACCAGAGCCTGCATTTACTCTGATGCCTTTACTGCAGTAATATAATTTTTCCACCAAAGAAAGACTTTTAATCRTTTGATGTGAAAGTGCTATGCTTAAGATCAGATGGCTAATGTTACTGAGGACAGAGAACTATCAAAAGCAGCCTCCAAATTAATTTAATATTCACTTCAATTAAAAGCTCATTTTGTCTTACTATTTATCAACAAAGAGAGCAGATTTAACAGATAAATCAGTTAAATAATGTGAGGATATTTCACTCAAACTTATACAAATCTATACAATATATGTATTTTTAAAAATGAATAAATAATTACCAGCCTGAACGGTGACAGGTTTGTTCTAAAGCTCGCTAGGCCAATCAGAACAACCAAGCTATCAAAAATATTCCACTTTTCCTGAAAATAGTAGTAAGGATCCAGAGCAACGATTTTCAAGATCATTTCTACGGTAAAAATCAGGGTGAAGACCTGGAAAGACAAAAACGAAATTCCGGAAGAAAAGTTATTGAAGAAGTCTGTCTCCTTATGGGAGTGTCCCAGTACATAAATACAGAGTTTTAACTCCATTTTTACCCTAACACAGACCCAGCTTACCTTGTCACTTAGAGAAATCAGTCGTTGGTAACCTGGTCGCATGCCAGGGTACTCCATAGCCAGGAATAAGGTATTCAAGATAATGCAAACCATGATTAAGAGATCAACGAATGGATTCAAAATTACCAWTTTCATCTTCTCTTTGACAGATCTCCAGAATGGACAACAATTCCAAATCAGATACTTTTGAGGGAAACGYTTCCAAAATGTAGGAAGGTTCAGTTTTGACTCTGGCAGACAAAGAGGGAAAGTGAATAATCCTTTGTAGAATATCACAGAACAAGGAGAAAATCAGTCATAGAAAAGAYTGAAAAGTCACTTTCACATGAGCAGAATGGCATCACTGAAAAAGATTATTTAGCTCATTCTGCACAAACTAATCACTGACTATTAAAGGTCAGGCAAAATTTACCCTGGGTAATTGCAAGYTACAGGTACAATTACATGAGATATGAGAATATTTTCTTTACTGAAATTTACATTTTGCAGAGTAATTTCCCCTAGAGGCTTTAAAAACAATGCTRTTAGTGACAATTTGATGTTTCAGGTCGAGTTACACACTCACCACWGGAAAAGAKGAAAGAATTACTTACTTGAATTATCTGTAAGAATTGTGGCTGCACTCATTAACCTCTGTCTTCGGACAGGATCGCTGATAGCATCCATTGACACCTCATAGGACAGCAGGATCTGCCTCTTTGGTTAGAAAGAGAGCAGAAAATAATATAACAGCAGAACATGAATATACAATAATTACAACAAAAATATTACAATAAAAATATACAATACAAATTGCAATACAAAAATTATGTCTGGCATGAGACAAATATACCTTTTCAAATACACATTGTAGTAAACATTTAACTTGCTAAAAAAAAAACAAGTAAAACAAAAAAATGTAACAATATCAGGTGTTTCCTTTGAAGACAAAGGATATTTCATCAAAATCAGTACCATTTTTCAAGAARTTTGTTTCCTTCTGAAAATATTTAATCAGCAATAATAACATTATATAAGAAGCAYAGAAACATTAACAGGGAGCAAGGGAAAAGAATAATTCCATCTTTCCATCTTTCCATRGAATGATAAAAACAACAGATAAAAAGAACACTAAACATGAATTTGAATGAACTAYTGGCTATTTAACTACCAATTATTGATAAATAATCATTTATTAAAATGAAAAATAGTCACAGAGTTAATAAAAATATTGGGGTTTCCTGCCCTATGAAGCCTATCAAGATCTACCTAACACTRAACTGCCTAAAACTAGGAATAGGACTACTTTTGTGCTCATTAAAACCACCAGATGACAAGGGATCTGACAGACTGGGAGTGGACAGACTGACCACATCACAAAGCACAGTAACTTAGTATTCTCTCTTAGCACAACTGCCTAATTTTCTTTTTTGGGAAGAATAAATGAATAAAAATGTAAAACAATGTGACTTCAAACTTTTATAATGTGATTTTTATTAGAATATTCTGTAAAAYTGTTCTTCAGGGAATGAATCTTTGGCCTTAGGAGTTTAATAATAAATATTTCTTCTTGCCACTCTGATATTTTAATGAAAATTTAAGCAAAACTTAGCTGATAGAACTGTCATAGAAGAGACACATAAAATTAATTTATAATAGTGCTAAAATGTTCATTCTACTTTCTGTGTTTTTTCTGAATCTAAAAGGCTCAACAAGACTGTTCCCATACTGACCAGTGCAATTTGTCCTTTCATTCCTTTTTCTAAGGTTTGGTGTCTCAGAAAAAAAAGAAAAATTTGTGTACCAGTCGACTAAAACTCTCAGTCTTCTTGTTGAAGCTCAGAGCTGTTCAGAAGCTTTCAGAGTTGTACTTTTGGAAAGGACAAGGATATTCACCAACACTGAACTGGTTACTGCTGCTCATTGATCTTTAGATGAAGGAAATAACTGGGGATGAGAAGCCCTCTGACCAATTGGGATTTAAAATAGGAATGTGCCCTGGAGGAATAGYCAAGTGTTTATAAATTGATGTTGTCCTGCCAAAAAGCTTCTACACAATCTGCTTTTTTGTTTGACTTAGCACCTTTAGCCTCTTTTTGTGATGAAAGCAGAGACAACATTGTTTGAGGAATCTTCACTTGCAGCAGAGCTTGTACTATCAGTAGTTGCCATAACTTGGAACAAACTGCTATGTTTGTTGCAGATTACACTTATTTGACTAAAGGTAAAAATCTACAYTGGAGCAGCTTACACATTGCTTGGATCATGCTCTAGGTTTTCTAGAGATATTCAGAACTTGGCCATTCCCTGCACACAGAGAGGGGAAGGGACCTTGGAAAGGGTCTGAAGACATTATTTCTGTGATTTAAAAATCCAGATTACATTTGGCATCCATYTGTGCAGACTTTGTAGCTTTGGAGAAGTAAGATCTAGCAAATAATCCAAATTTATCTCCTGCCTCTGTCAWCTCCTCCAACATAACCACAGACTTAAAAGAATAAAGTTAAATATGAATAATCAGACATAGGAAGTGATTTTTATACTTACAAAAGAAATAGCACTTGTTATGAAAATACCTTTTTGTTTTATTTCTGAAGAGGTRCAATAAAACACTACCAAGGGCTGTKACACAGCATTTCCTTTAAGGGCAGCACAACCAGACTAAATCACAAAATTGAATTATATTCTTAACACAGCAGGGGAAACATTAATAACACTACAAGAAGCAAATACTTTGCTAAGGAGATGACAGGTGGCAGTTGCTGTCGAGGGGGTGACTTGGGCTCCTTCAGTTCAGATATATAATTTATTACAGCTAGGATTATGGAAGCTAGAAGAAAATCTGACCATGCTGKCTGTCAGAATGAGAATTTAATCAATTTTAGCTTGGATTATATGTCTGAGAAAGACTCCCCTACTTTTCAAACAAAGGGAACTTGAAACTTCTAGTTCTGCTCTGGAAAATCTCCTTTTTCTCTGAAATGGATGGAGCAATTCTCATGGTTCTCCCAAAAGCAAGAGAGAATATGTCATGATATTAAACCAGTTTAAAGGCATTAAAAGCTTTATTTTTGATATTGTTGAAAATAATTAAGTAATATGGATAATTGCCTGAGAATTATTTTGGAAGATTCAATTCAAGATTAAAATATCTAAATATGGATATCTAAATTAAGATATTTGCAAAGAATCAGAGAAAGATTAAATGCAGTACAGTCTTCCAGCAGATACAGTATTTTGTCAATGTCAAAGGTACTGTGAAAAAAATCTCCAAAATTAAGCAAAGTAAGAATAACAAGTCTTAATAGAAATTTCTTAATGGATTTTAAAAGGAGTGATCAGTAGAGGTGCCAGAAGTCACTGCTGTAAACAGGATGTGAAATAGTATGATTCAGCCTAATATTCAGATATCCATGTTTAATTTGTTCATGTGCATTTCTGAAGCCACTTGAAATGCTCTATTGAGACATTTGGTACCTGAGGCATTCACAGTCTCAGACATGGCACATAACATCTGTGCCCCTCCATAGAGGAGGTGACAGCCAAATAAAACTCTAGAAAAGCTCTAATGTCACTAAATATCAATTTGTGACTTAAAAAACTAAATCTCCACTTGACTCTGGAAGTTTAGAACCTAAAACACATGTAAAAACCTGCAGAAAAAAACCCAAACCAAAACAAAACATAACAAATCCTGGGGCACTATCCAGTTTCCTAAATCTAGGAATATGGCAACACTTGAGATGCTGCAATTTACTTGAGATAGCCACACAGTGCTGGAAGATGTGCCACAGACAGCAAAGTATCTGGAATATCCAACATATGCAAGAGCATCTAAACTGGCACCAAATGTTTAAAGTCAGACAAGMAAATCGTGCCCCTAATATCAGAATTCTTCATTCTGAACTAAACCCTACCCTAAATTTAAGCCAAATTCAGACAGAATTAGCTGTCTGAACAAAAAAATAATTAATTTTTTTTTAAATAGTTAGTTCTTTAGGGAACCACTAAAACTTCAGAATTTTATACATTTTTTTTTCTGCAGCACAACAGAGATGCTGACGGATCTTACCACAGCTCTCAGAGCACAGGTCTATGATGTGCAATAACTGCATTACTGACAGATATGTCCAACTTCCCTTTCAAGTGCAGGTAATGTTGGCTCCCTCTGATCCCAAARTCCTTGAATTTTCATATCACAGGCAAATCTAATGAAAGTATCTTCTGTCTCAAATACTTACAAGCTTCTTGTGGCAGCGACCAGGCTGTGAATGAAATATTTGCTCCTCATTTTCCCGGTCACCTAAAACTAAGTTTTGCCTTGAAGTAGTTGTTTCCCTATTAGTCTCTTTCTCTTGTGAATTTTTGAAGTCAGCAACTGACACTTCAGATCCAGCATGCAAGGCCCTACTGCTTTCTCCTGCAGCCAGCATCTGTAACAGAAAAAAGCAAAAGGTCAGTCTGTTAACTCAAGGCAAATACCAATGCATGGACTAGGATCATATCCATAGAATTTTTATGTTCTCTGAATACTTTGCACTCAAAATTCCTAGATTTCAAATGTTAAACTGTTATAAAAAGACAAGAGTACAAAACGTTATTCACAATTCTGAATGACAAAGCAGGGTTACCTGTGAGGTACTGTAATTAAAGTCTGCCCTGGTCATTTTAAATATTGTATTTTGTATCTGAATTACAGAATATTGTGGTCTATCTTTTTGCTTTCCTTTTCTTGTTTTGAGAAGGACCTTGAGTCCAAGAGAGCAGAAGACTAAGGGCTCAAACTAAATCCTAAAATGTTAAACTTTTCTTAAAGAAAAATCAAAGGACAAAAAAAGAAAACCGGAAGGAAGAAAGCCTAAGCAAAGTTTGGCAATGTCAGGAAGAGAAACATTAACAGACCTGTTAACAGTTGTAGAGGAGAATTGGTAAAATGGTGATGCCATACACTTCAATGACAAAATTGGATAACTGCCCTATCCAATGAGAATATTTCTATGTGCTCCTACAAGCCTGACTTTTCTGACTCCTAGCAGTAAATCAAAGGTATCTTTTATAAAAAGTCAGAAGATAAAATTTATCCACTCATACTTCATGAGACTGTGCAGTGATATCAAGAAGGGATACCCAGGGAAAGGAACTTTTGGACACAGAAATAATGGCACTGTGCAAGAACAGGGCAAACTACGGAATGCAGCACTCATGCAATACCATAAAAGCTACTTACTTGCCAGAAAGCCATTCCTATATCATGTCAAATGTGCAAATCCTAAAACTTAGTATGTTTCAACTTGAATTCACCATGGTTTTTTGTATCATAAAAATGCTSATGTATTTAAATATATGTACATACATGCATTTGTAAAGACATAAAGAGAAATTAAGTGTGAGAAAGTATTGTAAGAAGCACATGTTTAATCCAATACACTATTCAATTTCCTTAATTCACAAACAGAAGAAAAGCAAAAGGAACTACAGATTGTATATGATAATTTACAAACCTGTTCTTTCTCTATAATTTGTTTGGCATCCTGAAGTAGTTTTTCCTTTGCCTCTGTTTCAGCACGAGTTGCTTTATTTTCCTCTTCATACGCCATAGTGACTACAGCCAAGATCAGATTGAAGAGATAAAATGAGCAGAAAAAGATGACTACCATAAAAAAAAAAATGCAGGTCACTCCAGATGTACGGATGGTCTGTGAGGAAAAGGTAAAGGTGGCAATAAATTCTTAACAAACTAACATTTACAATGCAATGTTGTAATAACTTCAAACAATTTCTTTTCCTATGCATACAAAAAGTTAATTTACTACACTGTTTTCAATGAACAACAGTAGGATTGTTTGCTTCTGGTCTAAGTTACGCATAACAATGTCATGCGCTGCAGGGAAGAATTAACAAACCCCTTCTTAAAATTAAATCAAATATCTCTATCTGTTCTATATCCTGATCATTGGGTGATTACACACAAATATTTAGTTCTTATTTAACTCCTAACCACCGACACAAGTGTGTTCTCCAACAAAACATGAGCATTCACCACAGGATTGCTGCCATCCAATGTCACTTGCAAAAGATGTTGCAACCCAGTCACTTGAACCTATTTCCTTAATATTTACATTGATTTTAAAAGAAAATTGGTGTCAGTAGTAACAAAACCAGCACAGATTTTCCTAGTGGGCATAAAGCTCTGAATTGCATGTCTGAAGTTATTTCAGCAGGTAATAAAAGTACCCACTTGTCTGTAGAGACGCTCCCAGTAGTCCTGGGTCATCAGACGGAACACAGAGAGGAAGGCCCAGCCAAAATGGTCAAAACTTGTATAACCAAAGTCAGGATTATTCCCAATCTTCTCACAAGTATAGTTTTCTGGACACTCTTTACTAACCACAAAAGAAAAGTTAAACAACACTTATGTGGAAATTCAATTGTATCTSAAAGTACCCAATGCGCAACATCAAACAAAGATGCGTTCAGTTTGTCTGAAACTCTGTTCAATTATTCACCTTGCCCAATATAATCTTGCCAGAAGTGCTGATTTACATCAGGCCATCCCAGAAAGTTATTTGTCTAGTCAAAGAAAACTAGRCAGAAACCTTAGTTTAGGACTAGACAAAAACTCTCAACAACCCCTGATGCAGGGTATGTTCAAACAAATACACAGAGAAGGGAAAAATGGAAATATCTTTACTTTAAGATAATTCACCAAGATTAGGAGAGGAAAGTTCATTAATCTCTAAAATGTCTTTACTGACCTGTTCCCTTTCTCATTTATATTATTCTACCTTACCATTATACTCCCAGTGGTTAGCAACAAAGTATATAAAAAATTGGCTGCATCCTTGTGCTTCATTTTTTTTTTTTCTGGAATGAAATATCTGTCTTTTAATTTAATAACTCACCTACCCACCCATTTCCTCCTTCTGAAAAATCACCAGCATTCCTTTAGACCAAAAATAAAATCACAGTACATCTGGAGGAAAAAAAATTAAGAAAGTAAGAAAACTACTTTGTTCACTTACTTGGGATCTGAGCTGAACCCACAGAGCAATATTTCAGCCGAGTCATTCTCTCTGTAGCAGAGCTCTAATTCTAATTAAAAAAAATGTATAAATCAAGGAATCATAAAATCAGAAGTTGCCAGTTTCTACAGCTTTCTGACTGTAAACCAAACATTATTGTACTTTACAAACAGCCTAATGGATCAAACCTCTGTGAAAGATCCTTTCCTAACAGAGGGCACAAAGGGCTGATTCTCATATCTGCCTGTCTGACAATTTAAAATAAATAGTAGCTATTGACTGCACAACTAACAACGTAAGATTTCATTTGATCTGTGGTAAAAATAAGAATGTCTGTGAGAAGTAGGAAAAATCCATTAAATAAGTGATGGAAAAAGTAATTTTCTAYGCAGTACCCCTAAAATAAGGATCCCTGTGCAAAGCACAGATAAAGAAGAAAGTGCTTATAGAAAACTCAGTCCCTTTTATCCCACAGACTGTCAATCTTGCTCCAAATCCAAGGTTCATTAATTTCAAAATCATTTGTCCCAGAGACTTCATACTACTTGTGCAAATGGAAGGACAAACTTTCATGGGAGAAATATGTTAACTATACCTTAACATCTTTGTGAAAAATCAAGGCATATATAGGAAAATAACAGATTATGTCAAGAGAAAAAACAAAAAACATTTACCTTCATCATCTGGTACATATATCTTGGGATCCTTACATAATGAGTCATTGTACAGAGTTTTATTGAGGATACATTTGGATTTTAAATTGCCCATAAAAAGCTGGAGGCCTATTAGAGCAAATATACTCAAGCAAAATAAAGTCAGAATCAACACATCGGCGAGTTTCTTCACAGACTCAACAAGCGAATTTACAATGACCTTCAGACCTAGGAAAATAAGRTCCAATAACATGGAAAGTGAGAAAAGGAATACAATGATGTTCCTATATGACAAGACATGACAGTTCAAGTTTGTTAAAAACAAAGGAAAAGTATTGACGTGTGGCTTTGACACTGAAATTAAACACCTTCAATAGTTTAATTCCTGCTATAATTCCATAGCAAAATCAAAAATATATTTGCAATTACAGGAAATTGTAAAGTTAATATACATTATGACCATGAGATATATAATAATTTGTTGATTTTCAAGTGAATTTTTGCAGTTGGACTCCGTAATCATACTTTGGTATCCATATCAAAGAACATAAAGGACATGAGTTACAAAAGTATTGAATGTCTGGATGGCATATGCAACATACTGTTGGAAGTATTACACACAATTCAGATAGTGGCTGTGATCAGTAAGGAAACAAATAAACGTCTCAAAAACTCTTATATCAGAATTCTGGGAAATAAACCAGAGAAGGTTAAGCTAATGAAATAGAACGTGAAACCAGAAATATGGTGGTTCAGATTATGTTAAGAGAATATTATGTTAAGAGAACATATCAAATAGCATGAGCTGCTCCAGGAAGACAAAAGCAAAAGGACAAAGGCACTGGGCTAAGTAAARATGAACATCAGTGATGTGATTAAAAAATGCAGAAAATATATTTGCCTCTTCCAAAACCATTTGGAGAAAAGATTATTTTTAAAATGGCATTAGGATGCTGCTCAGAGATACTACAGACTGCAAAAGTCACAAATTGGATCCCTTGGGGTCTCAGAAAGTGACAAGAAAACTGGAAACAAGAACAGAAGTGGAATTAGAATTTGCATCCTGGTGAAGCCAAGAGAAAATCAGTAAGGTGCAATGTTCCTCACCTGGTATTACTGAAATAGCTTTCAAAGTCCTCAGTACTCGGAAAGTTCGAAGGGCTGAGACATTGCCAATAGTCTGAAATGCAGTAATGTACCTGTAAAATTAACCCAACAGAACTGAATGGCAAAGATACAGCTTTTCAAAGCATTCGATTATGGAGCAGGCAGCAACCGATACATTGCAGAAAATAAAGAGGTCAACTATGTCCTAAGGTACATGCCCAAAGTTAGGAATCCAAGTCCATTTTTAGTTATAAARTAATGGGGCTTTGGAGCAGTGCCTCTGAAAAAAAAACACAGCAAGCTTACACTTAGTGTGGATCTGGATGYTTTTACTTTGGAAGAGTTTGTCCATCAAAATGTCAAATAAATACAAAACCTTCAAGGTCATAACCACACTCTGATACTGAAGCTTCTCTCATGAAAGGGTATGCTGCAGCTATCTCAAAACAAAATGTAGACTTCAAAAGGAAGTTGAGAAAAACTAGGTTTATAATATGCAAACTGTGTACCACATGGGTCTTTCTCATCTTTAACAATCACCAAGAACTTAAGTAATGTAACGAGTTTCAATTTTAACATTTCAATGATTATACAGTTTCAGAAAATCAGTATTTTAAAGCGTTGCATATTCTATACGGCACTTCAACAGGTTACCTCATGTTTTCTAAGACTTCTTTCATGACAGAAAGGATATGGATTGTGACTCATCCCATGGGAAGGCCATAACTAGTAAGAGAATTCCTTTAAAAGTCTCAGTAATAAAATCTGAGACAACAATGGCTGGAAAGGCAACCTCCCASTCAAAGCATAACTTGGCAGCAGCACATCAGAGCACATTGGTTTTGCCAGGCCTTTAAAACTGAGTAATTTTCAAGTACCTTAAGCAATAATTGTTTGAGTTAGCAGTTGAGCTGATATCCAAGTAATTTTCTTTGTTGTACTATAAGACATGGGAAAAAACAGGTGGAGATACTATATTGTAAAGTTGAATACKAGGGGTATAGGTAGAGAAGAAGGACCATAAATGGAATTTTTCATGCAGGTATTGGACTACCTCATGATAGTTGTAACTATCAGTAACTATTAAGTGTTACTGATTGTCACATATTGCTGATGACCAACAATATTCAAGCTTCTCAGCAGTTCATCATTACCCTTAAGACTAATTGTTCATATATATATAGATGTGTGTGATGACACCTGTGTACATAAACCTATTATTTACAAATGAGGAAAAATCTACATGTAGTGTTACAAATAGCTCCCTTCTTTTTAATTCTGCCACCTGACAGTTTCATTTGGTGCCTTTAGCTCTTATTGAAGGAGGGGGAAAAAAAATTCCCTTTTTGCCTCTGTGTCAGAGACTTCAACTGTGTTACTGTTCTGCAATTGTTTTTTTCATGCAAGTTTTATTCTATTTTATTTGTTGTTATGTAGAATAACAGATATACATCTTCTCTGTATTTTTTTTTAATTCTGACATCTTTTGACATGTGAGGAACAAAACTACACATGATTCTGGATTAAAATACAGGCCACAGGGAAATAGTGGAGTGTTTTGCTTCTTTACTTCTTACCCACAATGCCCCCATTTTCACTTTCTTTCTCTGACCATGACTGCACTCTGGAGTGGTGCTATAACAAGACAGTCTGTTTAAACCCCAACACCTGCTTCCCAAGAAGTGAAAACTATTTCAGAGGCCATGAATTTTTATGTAAAGCAAGACCTGTTTTTCCTTGAGCATCACTTGTCACTGGGATTTCATCTGTTATTTAYCACTAAGTCATTCAACATCTTGTGACCCATTTTGGACCCTTCTCAAAYGAGTTTCATCTCATGTACCAGAGTACAATTAGGACAATGTAWGAAGGCAGGCTTGGTTTGAACTGTCTGTGCAATTGCCTCTTGAAAAATTTAAATATGGACTAAATTGAGAGCAATCACACAATTCTAAGATGAACTTTTCATTTAGGTGTTACTTTAAAGTCTGTTTTTGTCATTGCAGATATGCAAATCRTGACTCCAGCACAATTTAGCAGGGAGGAGGCCAACAACTGTAAGGAATTTCAGCAACACCAAACAGTATTTTCTCTATGTTTGTGTACCTTGAGTGTAAAAGAAAAGTCGAGTACTACTTACATTACGATAATAACAGAAAGATCCAAGCAGTTCCACGGATCTCGAAGAAAGGTAAATTCATTGCAAACAAATCCTCTTGCTACTATTTTTATCAATATTTCAGCAGTATATATGGCAGTAAAAACAGGTCTGAGGAGGAAAGTGGATACTAAAGTTACAGAAATAAAAATATTAATGAGATTGAGACACAATCAGGCACATTTCTATCTTTTCTATGATTCAGTCCCTGTGTGGACATAAAGATAGAATATGTGAAGCAAAACAGGACACATTACATTACTTTCAGGAGCATTATGGGAATAAGATGTCTTCCTGAATTTTAGTAAATTTTCTATGTAAATCTATAAACACAAATGTTCACATAAGCATGTGATAATATTTTTGGATGAAGGATAGCTCATATTTCCTTAGGAAACATTTTTAAGTCTGTGATTATGTTCTAAAGAAGGCTGGAAAATTTCAAAGCCTCAATATTATGGCAGAACAATAACAGAGAAGATTTATTTCAGTATGCAAAGTTCGCACATTTTATATATTTATTCTGACAAAGACTTTATAACTGAAATAAATCCTACAGAAAATTAAGTTTTCACCATGCTCCAAAATAAAAGGAATTAAAATTATAGAGCTTCTGAGGCTTGAGGCATGTTTTCCAGACTTAATTCTGGAACATTAACTCAGGTTACACTGGATGCAGTGCACAAGCACAAAAGGAAGCAAGACATTACAAGTAAATGGCTTCCTAGTGGGAACAACTGATTTAAGAGGAAYGCCAGGAAGCAGGAAGAAAGAATAGAATGAATATTTATCCCTTTGTAGCTTTTGCATGAGTTAACTATAACAGACATTCAGGTTATTGCTGTAGAATGAGAGATATTAAGTTAAAATCCTGCTGCATACTCCCTCTAAAAGGTTTAACCTTCAAAAGGAAAAATGGCCCAACCTCCTCCTACGTTACAACAGGTGGGAAAATTAGACAACACAGAGGAAAGGGCATCTAAGAAAAGGCACTGAAGCTCCACAAAAGACAGCATGATATAATAATAATCCTCAGTCTTCTTCACAGGTCTATCCAAGAATTTTCAAGCCCCAGAATTAGACCACCACAGAAATCAAATTTTTCAGTCCTGCAAAGTATCCTTGGAAAAAGAATGAACACATGGCCATTGAGATACTTACTCAGTCCAGTAGAGTTCTTTAGGAAGCTCACGGGTAGTCATAACAACACAATTGAGTAACACAGTACACATAATAATGCCAACAAAAAATGTGAATTGTAAGTTAAGGAAAAAAAATCTACATTATAAAACAATGAAGTTCACACAAGTAGCTGATTTCCACACAAAAAAAACCACACAGAGAGTCTAATAATTACTTTGAGTTTGAATATGCTCAAAACTTTTCATACGTTTTCCAAAGAAGCTTGTAAAAGAATCACAAAATGTCCTCAGTTGGAAGYGACCCACAATGATCACTGAAATGCAATTCCTGGCCCTGCACAGGACTATCCCAAGAATCCCACCAAGATCAAACCTTCTCMGCTGGGTAAAATTCATGTTTTAAGTATAAAAATGAATCATCTGCATGTGGAGACAGTTTTGGAAGTTAGGATATTAGTGAGACATAACATGTTTGACATGTTTAAAGTCAGACATATGTTCACCTAAAAACACCTATTTCTACAAATTAATAATTCCAAATAAAAACAGAAAAAAGCAGAAACCACTCAGCCAATGGTTTTGCACCTGCCAATCCTTCACATTCTGACATTCTTCAAAGTTACAGTTAACTTTATTTTTTTTAAATATAAAGGATAGGTGCTCTTCACAACTTTCTAAACTTTGGTATGAAATACATTTCTTAATATAACATGAGACTCTTTCAGCAAAGTTCCACCATAAATCCCATCTTTCATATTTTAATAACTAGGGAGTCATTGCTTTGCTTTGTTTGTTCATTTGTATGTTTTCAATTTAAGATTGTGATCACAACTGAAATTTAGTAAAAGTTCTGGAAAAGGGCTAATATATCATACAATGGCCTTTAAATGTTGTTTCATACCAGTATCTGCAAATTTGACTTTAAAGATCAGCTTTTGACATTTTTACTTGTACCAACATCATGTGAATTTCTTTTATGTTCTAAAATAAGAGTCAATGTGACTTTTTAAAAATCTCTATCACCAACATATGAGCTTACATTCACATTAATATAAACAGAGAAACAGAATGACAGAAAATGGCAGAGAATATTTTAAAATTCAAATCAGGGAAACCATGAAAGGATATGAATGGATCATAATTTTAATTGCTGTTTTTCTGACTGGATTAAAAGGACCAAATATAAACAAGGCAGGTGTGGCAGCAAACCGGAAAATAGTCCTCCTTTTATTTATCACCATAAAAGTCTATTAAAAAAAAATCATGTTATATGAAACATTTAAATGAATTTAAAATTTCTGCAAAAATTAAATGTTCAGTTTTKCAAGTGTACATCTAAAATTATATCTAAATGCAGTTAGGAATAAAGCTTTCCTTTATTCTCACTTGGAGCTGTGACCTGATTATACACATTYTGAAGGAAAGACAGCAGCTCTATAAAAGTTCATTATTGCCAAAGAGGAAGAAGCAATAATGGGAATGAATATGAAGAGCAAGTGATTATATTCATTTGGTCAAAGTAATTAAATTATTACTCTGGGGCTGTAAAAATGATCTTAATACCTTACTCTTGGGCAGTTTTACAAGCTACAAGAGATTATTTACAAAACACACATTGTGTAGCACTGCCAAAATCCTAGACAGTAAAAACAAATGTTTTAATTTTGAAATATCTCTACACTGTCAAGTAGCAACTATCAATTCCCTCCAAAATACCTTAAGGTCCATGCAGCACAGCCCTTTTGCCATACAGTAAAAATGAAATTTCTTGAATGAAAAACAGAGTTTCCTATCTTTAATATAAATTTCTTCAACTCAATCAACTTTAGTTTCTCTTCATCAATAGTATCACTTAGATTACTTTGAGAAWAAAGTATCTGGAAGATCAAAGCCTTATTCATGTTTCTGATGAAATTATTCTACCCCAATGCCTTGCTGGTATAGATCAAAACAGAAAATAGAACTGGATGGAGCCTTCTGCTCTTCAGGTCAAGTCCTCCTCGATAGTAAGTAATTATTTAATTTAAGTAATTAATTTAGGAGTGATTCCTAGAGCATCTACTTTATACACTGCTGTAGACAGCATCACCAACCACTTTGGAATAGAAGGGAGWATGTGCGATATAAATATGGAAAAATATATAAAGCCAATGGGGCATAAAGTAACAGAAAAAATAATTTAAGACAATGAAAATACATGGGATTGTTACACATAAATATCTCAAATGTGCCTCCCTTGATTTGTATAATATTTGTAATCCAGTGAAAGCATCTGCAATTCCAGCAYCTACTGTTAGACAGGCACTGTTTATCCAACAGGGGTTCAGCCCTACAGGCATCACAGAAAATCATCACAGACATCACATGCTCTGGAAAACAAAGCATCACTTACACCAGAATGTATTTACTATCAAAGTGCACCAATCACATATCATGTTTTCATAATTAATTCTGATTGTTGACTGGAACTTAAAATACCTCTTCATTCCATAATGCAGAGCATACCTTAGCACCCCTCCCCAAAAGTTGTCAGTAATCTTCAAAGGTCTGTCTAGAAAACAATCAAACCCCAGTACCTCCTGAACAGAGCTTTTACTAACTCTTAAGAATTCAGCAAGAAAAACAATTTTAAAAAAAATAGTTTGGAAAGTTTTAACCTTGTGATCACTGTAGTATGGATCAAAATCCTCTAGGGGCTCCCCAAYGAGCTCTGCAGGAATGTCCCCATACAGAGACGGCAGCGTTTTGTACATTTTCAGATCAAGCTGAGGAGTAAGTTTGTCTTCAACTCCCTGGTCCTTGTTCCTTTCCTTAACTTTGACTTGCTCTTTATTTTTGTTGGCAATCCKTTCCTCAATTGCTGCCAAGGACTCGGGGGTGAAAGGTCGAAAGCTGTTTGTTTCTGATGGCCAAATCAAGGGATCCATTTTTCCTTCTGAGTCTTTGTGTCCAGTACTAGARACAACTTAGGAAAGAAAGCTCTGACAATTAGAAAATAAAAGAAATGACACACAACTTTAATACCTACTAGATAAATGATTTCTTAGTTCTCTGAAATTCCATACCAAAGCAGAATAAAATAGAGTAGAATAGGAAAAGACTTTCAGTTTTCAAAAYCTACAATGGCCATTCAGTCCAACTGTCTGATAACTTCAGGGTTGATCACTGTAAGCTCTTGGGCACTGCCCAGTGCCTCTTAAACACTGACAAGCCTGGGGCATTAACCAYCCCTCTAGGAAGCCTGTTCCAGTGTTTGACTACCCTTTGACCACTTTTRGCAAAGAAATGCTTCCTTATGTCCCATGTAAACCTCCTGCAGTGTGGCTTTGAACCATTCCMACATGTCCTGTCACTGGATCCCAGGGAGAAGAGCTCAGCACCTCATTCTCYACTTCCCCTCCTCAAGAAGCTGTAGAGAGTGATGAGATCACCTCTCAGCCTTCTTTTCCCCAAACCAGACAAGCCCAAAGCCCTCAGCTGTTCCTCTCAGGACATTCCTTCCAGCCCTTACACCAGCTTTGTTGCCCTTCTCTGGGCACACTCAAGGACCTTCACATCCTTCCGAAATTGAGGGGCCCAGAACTGCCCACAGTAACCACAGTGACCACACCAACACTGAACTCAGAAGGAAAATCACCTCTTCGGACCATCTGTCCTGCTGTGTTCGAGGCACCCAGGGTATAAGGCAAAACCAACTAAAAGCACATTCATTTAAAAGAAGTAAYGTAAAAAATGAGTAATTTTAAAAAAAACCCAATAAAGATCAACAACTCAATTTGGATCTACCCCCGTGCAATTCAAGTTACACRAGAGATACTTTTTTCCTTTGCCTTTCCAGCTTGGAAGCATCCAAATCCCATCTCTATCAGAACTCTAATTGTTTCTCTCTGTAGATTAATGTATCAGCAGCCTTGCACCTCAGTTCCTCTGTACTTCTTGAAAACAGAATTTAGTTCCACGTGTCCCACCTCTAAGGCTCATCAGATCCATCCGCTCCACAAAGCAAGGCCARCACTGAAGTTGACTCAAGGATTTGTCCAGATGCATTTTCAATTATTCTGCTGGAGGCTTAAATCCCTGATTGCAGCGGGGATGGGTGGCATTGAGAAGCCCTGAGGAGACTTAGGGCAAATCACTGTAACTTTGCAGTTACTAATGCCCAAGTTTTCCCCTCTCCTGTAGATGACGGCAATTTACATAACATCAGTTCTCACCTGCAGAAGATGAAGAAAACTTTGACCCATTACAGGATGACTTCTCCTTTTGATTCATATCAAAATTGWTTATTCCCATTTAATAAACACTTTTGGTCACCACCAAGTCTTTTAAACACTCTGCATTTTTGATTGCTGAGGTCCAACTCTGCTACATCTTTTTTGCARCCTCACATGCGGACCATTTTAGAGAATCAACACTCTCTTGCAATTACAGTTCTCTTCTTTAGATACAATGTATCTCTTTTAAAAGAATATGCAAGCAAGAATGATTGTGCAATAACTTTGTTTGGGTTTATGGCACTTGGAGTGTTTTTTTTTTCCTCCTCTGGGACTTTCCAAGCATATTCAGATCTGGTCAGGAACCACAACACAGAAATTAGAATTTACTATGGTAACACAATGGAAGTATATGACCAAAGAACTGTTACTTTGCCAAACCACACAGACCCATTTCCAATTGAAAGCTCAGAAGACAAATTGAAAATCAAGACACCCTTTTTCTTTTCAATTTTTAATAATTCTAAGATTACCAATTTTATCTTCAGAGCAGTTTTAGAGACAACAGARAAACTCAGCTTTTAGGGAAACTGCATCAACTGTAATAAATGAAGCAAAGAAATGGCTTTAGCAAATCCAAACATCATTTTAATATCAAGGATTTGGGAGCTAAATTTAAAAACAAATTAAAAAGACTGAATCTGACAAAAGCAGTGATCAAGAGCAAAAAAGTGCARCACATTCCCTTCAGCAGTTGTGACCAGAAGCCATAATGGGACAAACACCCATAGACATTCATGAGAKGATTTCTTCAGCAGACCTGACCCAGCAGTGTACTTGTACTCACATGAAACAACAAAATTTTTGCCTTTGATCAACTGCCAACTATTTATAWATTGTGACTTGGGTTAGGAAAATGGAAGCTAAGAAGATGTGACTGAAAAATCCTTCCAATAAAGAGACTAAATTTGTATTAAAAAGACAGAGTGACTACATGGAATTCCTGAAGCTCAGCTAAACTCAGCCACCTCATCATATACCGCTAAATTACTYGGATTTTTAAGGCAAGACACTGAAGTAAAGTGTTACCTGCAGAAATAATTTCACTTTTTGCAAGGGACAAAAAAGTTGCCCTAGTAACTGATTCTGGAAGGGAAGATACAGAACAAGCTTTCTTTGAAGTAGCCAAGCACAAGATTTTTTTTCTAGAACCTGGCAGAAAAAACTTGAGTGCATAACTACAAATTAGTGCAAACAATTGTGTGTCAATATGTATTATGGCAATATACTGCCAAGGCAGGTAYAAGACTGAAGTTCAGATCTGTTAATTTCCAGTACAGCATATGAAATAAATTTGCAGTTAAATTAAATTAAGAATTAAAAATCCTTCAAGAGGTCTTGATATCTCTGGTCCTGTAGTAGAGACCAGACCATCAGTAACAGATAAAAATGCACTGGTACATTCAGTTTAGTAAAGTACCACTTTCTACAGGATCAAGCATAAATAAGCACATCTTRAAATTCAACTTTTTCTTTTGACTATAGTGGAAATTACTTGGTTTTCTCATCTTGGGAGGAATTGAACTCACTGTACATATCTTGGTATTGTTTGAGATTAGTCTAGCTGACTTAAGGGTACTGCAAAAATGACGTWCAATCTTTCTGTGTCAAAACCCAAGGAATTCCACACATACTGATGAAATTTACTGAACAAATGACCTATAAAGTATTAGACAGGGATGAACAACAAGTCATTAAATTAAAGAGACACTGGGTACTACTAAAGTATAATTTGCTTCTAAAATTTCTTAAGATAAAGGGTTTTCAGACAATGTTCTAGAATAGGCAAAGTACTGCGAAAAATGAACCTATTAATACAATGTTTCAGAGACATAAATTACAAAATGCTTGCTGGGTTAGTGACTAATCACTAGAGATGATAACTACCAAATTTAGACTTTCAGATTCAAAAAACAAAATATGAATTCAAGCCTTATACATAACTCATTGATTCGGCTCCATCTATGTGAATTTCAGAACTCTTTTCAGCTCCCTAAAAGCACAGAGCTCTTCTTAAATGCAGCAAGGTAAAGCCATCGAACTACGGACAGTAAGATATTCAACAATCCACAGGTGGAACTGGAATTGATAAAACTGCTCAGTAAAATACAAACAAAGTCAGTAAGGGGCATTTGTCAGAAGTTTCTCAAGACAGGAAAGCTAGTAGGAACATAAATATAAAAATGCCTTTATTTGTGTTTTAATCTAGTTTTAGCATGAATTATAACAAATTCTGAGTCCCAAATTATTTCTATCAACTCCCTTGTCAAGAACYACCAGCTGATTATTTCCTGTGAGCACCTGGGTCTGGTGAAAATAAAAGTATGCTAGTTTGGTTTTAGTGTACATTTAGTAGATTCTTTCACATGGGAATAAAGATGTGTTCATCTCTTCACCTGAAATAAGAAAAAAAATGAGAAAGCTGCTCACAGCAACACCTTATGAAACAGGACAGGAATTCTCTATTTTTCAGTGCTGTACAATACCYTGCCAAAAGCTACTGCTATCGTGTACTCAATTTCAATAAACAGAAAATACTTTCTCTCTCTGCTCAAAATTTTCTTATATTTAACTACCAATATGGTGAACAGATCTTAGACCTTAGTAAAATCCAACTTGGATATTTCAGAGGACTGCCATTGTTTCTAAAATACATGGCCATTTCTTTCACTTCRCATTTTGTCCCCCACTCTCCACTTCTCACTCATCACCCCATGCCAAGGAAAAGTTTGTGCTTGGATGGCTGGATAAACATCTACCAGTGCAGATTTGGGTTTGTTTGGTTTTTGGGGGTTTTTTTGGTGGGGGAAGTTGTTTTRTTTTGTTTTTTCAACACATGTAATAGCCAAAGTTATTTGCAATATCACTGTCATTCAGTCTTTACTTCCAAAATCAGAAATCCATGCAATGGGCTTCAGCATTTTTGTGAGAAAAACATTCCAGATTTGTGTAGGTAAAGAAATTTCAGTATGTCAAGTTGAGTGTAATTATGATTAGATAGTACTACAGCCAGYTTGATGAATACTGTGCATGAGGTGACATAACAAAACAGAGCCAGTAATTAAACCAGTCAGTAATTACTATTATAATAATTAATATGAAAATAACTAATAGCAATTAATATGACAAATAAATCAACGATTTGCAAAATGTTTTACTGACCCATGTAAATCAYAGCAAGAGCTACATGTTTACAGCAATATAGTGGTTCTACATTAATGACAGATTTTCTAAAGTAGATGTTTCCTGTACTTAAAATAAAACTACATCTTTTATATATATGTAGGCACACACACACTGGTATACATACATCCTCAAATATTTTGAACAAACAGAATTAAGATAATCAGCAACTGAGTTTTCTCATAGTATCCAAATATTTAGCAAAAACAAAATACTCACAATATACCCTTCAAAACAAAAAAGCCTTCACTCTGATTTCTGAAGGTAATGTTGGCTGGCTTTTATTTCCAAGGAGACAGACWGTCTTGGTTTTCTCACCTTCACCTTTCCATTCCCAACAGCATCATTTCTCCTGAGCCAGCTCCCATGCAGAAGTTTTCTTCTGTTTTGGGATGCCTGTGGGAGGGATGGAGGGAGGAGCTTGGTTGCTTTTCTGAAAACAGTAAATGAAAGGTTGTACACTCACTGAC